CTTAAGAGTGACTTTAGAACTAAGTATGAGCATTATGAATTTCTTGTTATACCCTTTCGATTAACTAATGCTCTTGCCATTTTTATGGATTTAATGAGCAGGATATTTAAAAGGCAGTTGGATAAACTTGTGGTGGGTGGTCATTGATGATATTTTGGTGTATTCTTCTTCTAAGGAGTATGAGAAACATTTAAGGGAAGTATTGCAAATTTTAAGAGATGAGAAGCTATATGCCAAATTTAACAAATGTGAATTTTAGTTGAAGAGCGTGTCCTTTTTAGGACACGTTATCTCAAAAGCTGGTGTATCGGTTGATCCAAAGAAGATACAAGCTATAGTGGATTGGCCTAGACTAACAAATGCGGCCGAGGTTTGCAATTTCCTTGGATTAGCTAGTTACTATCGGAAATTCGTGGAAGGGTTTTCCACCATTACTCTACCAAATACTTGCTTAACACAAAAGAAGGTTAAGTTTGAGTGGATTCCTAAATGTGGATCAAGTTTTGAAGAGTTGAAGCAGAAATTAGTATTAGTGTCGCGCCCCACTTTTCGATTCGAGTGAATGTATGTGTGTGAAGTGTGGTGTGTGAACGTGTGCAAAGTAAAAGTAAAGGCCATGGGACTTTGGAAAGCGACGATTTGGCCAAAAAAATAGTTTTAAAAAGGGTTTTGAAATGAAAAGTTTGGAGTCGCCACTTGGTAATGGTTTAAGGTGTACCAAGTCACCCAAAAATGAGTTTTAAAGTCAAGTAGTAATAAACCCTTTTTAAAACGACTCCTAGTCTACGTAAACCAAAGAAAAAGGTTCGGGAGTCACGTTTGACAAAGGGGAAGGCAAGGATAGAATCCAAGGCACCCCTTTGACCTAGCCAAGGCTAGTTGCGTTGATTTAATCAAAGATTTTCTTGTTTTAACCAAAGAATTTATTACATTTGAGTGCCCTACATGAATGCAAACCCTAGACCTAGGGGAATTGGGGGAAATTTCCCTTCAAAGGTTGAGTGGTGCCAATCACATTAATTGTGAAGCCCAATATCAATCTTTTGAAGAAGTCACGAATAATGCAAGTGGGATGCAAATGAATGAAATGCATGCGTGCAATGTGAGGACATGAGTTTGAAAAAGTAATAAAAGAAAATAAATATGTAAATGAAAGTGTGCACGTGAGTGGGCAATGTACGGTATGTGAAATGATAATATGAAGTGCATGTGTGCAAATAATGATAAAAGTGTTCGTGTGCAAGCGAAGAAACTCAAGGGTGCACGTGTGCAAAAATGGGAGGAAAAGTGTTCATGTGCAAGTGAGGGTGATAAAAAGGTGCATGTGTGCAAATGAGACAAAAGTGAAAGTGTAATGATAGAGTGGATTGAGAATGCATGAGCCTAGGGAATTCATGCATATTGGGTACGGGGAGACCTAAATCGTGACTTGATTTTCCCTTTGATTAGAAGGCGAAACTAGCGTGCTAAGGCTATCGAGTAGCCACACTCGCTCGTTTCCCTTATCGGAAGGGGACCCTCAAGCAAATGGACCCTACAACTATCATGAAATGCAAAAATCCTAAAATGAGGGGAAAGGGGGTCCGAGGAGCATGCCAAGTGATAAAACTAAGAAAAAATGCATGATATGTAGTGAACAGGCAAATAATGCATCAATGAAAAATAAAGGAAAAATTCTATTGGGTCTAGCGTTGGACTAGCCCTTTCTATGAATTCCTAATGAAATAATGATCCACAACTAGCGTTGGACTAGTGTGGCGACGTACATTCATCCATTCCATTCATTCATGGCTATGAAAGCAAGTAGACATGCCAAAATACTCGTAAGCACATAGCACATAGCATTTAGCATGCTCGACTAGATGCAAGAGCCTAATAAAGCAATTAAACATGTAACAACAAAAGCAAGCAACCAAGGGGAAGGGGAAATGGACCAGATGCTCTACGAGCACTATCTATTACAAGCCAAGAGGTGTACACATACCCCATGAAAGCATAAAGGGGAAAGGGAAATGGACCAGATGCTCTCCGAGCCCTATCTATTACAAGCCAAGAGGTGTACACATACCCCATAAAACTTAAATAAAAGAAAGTAAGTAAATGCGTGCAAAGAGGTAAGGAAAGCGAAGTAGACAGGCATATTCTCATAACACATAGGAGCACGTAGGAAAAATAAAGTGCAAGTGAGGGATAGAGTGTACCTCCCTTGCAATCGGGGCCCAATGAAGTGAAATTATTCAATTACCCTCCAAAATAATAAAAAGGTCAATGCACCACTTTATTTAAGGAAGAAAATAAAAGAAATGTGCAAAACAAAGCTCACTTAGTCATAAAAACCCCAAAGTCAGGAATTAAATGCAATTGAAACAAGGCAGGTAGTCAATTGAAGCTAACAAGCAACGAAATTGTAAAATTAAAAGCTATCAAGGACCAAATTGAGAGAATGATGCAATTGATTGGGCCATAATAGAACAAGGGGAGACTTGGGGGTCAAAGTGCAATTTTTAGAATATATTTCATGCATGCTACGTAAGACTTGTTTCTGCAACCAAGCTTGCTGCCATTTCATTTCAAGTGGGGATTCTAGACAAAACTTTGATTCAAGGCTTTTCAATCAAAAAACAAAGCTCCAAGCCAAGCAACGAAACACATAACTCCCACATACATAATGCAGATTCGGTACAAGCTATAAAGAAAGGCAAGTCTGCAATTTATTTCCTATTAAGCTTCACTTAACCGAGAATGAAACTGCTGCACTTTGCTTGTGAACTGACTCAGATTTTCTGGTTCAAATACACAACTTCGGCTAGGATTAAGCAACTAACAACTTTGGATTAAGCAACCATGATCCAAGCAAGCAAGCAACTCAGGAAAACATCATACTCAGCTCTGGAAAAACATGCATGCAACGACAAAAGGTTTCAGCTTTGGCAACGTTTCCTTTGCTGCAAAACTTGCAGCTTCAAACCGCATGGCGTTCACATCCAAACATTCATAGTTTCAGATTAAAGTGTGCAACTTCATCATTGATCCTTGAAACACAAGATTGAACTAGCAAACCGAATGACGAAAACCAGCTTATGAGCTTTAGCACCGTAAACAAAAACAAAACAGAAACATGAGAAACGAACGCAGCTTTTCCCTATTGGTTTCACGCATGAAAAAGAGCTGATGACCTTTGTCTCTAAGTTTCCAACAGGAAAATTCTAAATGCAGCTTTGATAGCAGATGTCCATGGCAACCCAGTTATGCAGCAAACAAAAACAAGGACACCAACCAAGCAAAAAACATTGCAGAAACTGATGCAATCTTCTTGGTTCATGCAAATGATTCGGCTACACATTGTCTATGTCACGAGCAAGCATTCAATTCCAACTCAAGTTTGTTTAAACACAAACTCCCAAGACCAATCTAAGTGTCATAATAACCATTTCAACATTCGAACCAACCGAAACATAGCAGAAAAATCATGCAAAAACTGGAAAATTCTGGGCAAAAGGTCGGCAATCCTGACTGGTTTGTTTTCAGCAAACATTCAGCCAAAGCTCAAATATTTTTGGACCCAACCATTCAATCTTAACACTAGACTTCCCACCTCAGGACAAAACAGATTAAACCTGCAACTTTGGTGAAAGGACCGAATGTGCAATCACAGAATAGAAAAAACAGAGAATGCAGCTTCTTTTTGCTTTTGCGAAGAAGTTTTGTAGCTACAAAGCTTATGTAAGCTGAAATGTCATCGTAGGCTTTTTGGAAAACATCTCATTAAAACCCACCATTTAATCATCAAATGCACACAAATTTTCCAGATATCTGTTTTAGCAATGAAAATGCAGCCAGGAAAACATTCTCGGACCATGAAGTGACCACTTCACTCCCTCGGACCTTCAAACCAACCAGAAAACTAATCATCCAAGTCCATTAAACTCCCAAACACGATCCCAAAAATGCAAGAAACCAACCATTGAATGTCATGAGAAGAGCACACAAACAGAAACAAACAGAAACAGCAAAAAGAAACGGCAAGAATGAATCAAAACTAGTCTCAAACCTACATAATTCTCATATTTGTTGGGCTTGCTAGAAGATATAAAGTAAAGGGATTACCTTTAGCACCGTAGGGGATCCTGTGAACCAAGCAGAAATCGAATAACTTGCGTGAGGATGTCAACTTCAACGCCACAGGTTTCTGGTGAAGAAATTTCTGGAACACAGCCACGTTCCTTCTTGTTCAGCCGCCGCTCTTCATGGCTTCTCCAAAATCACCTTCCTTTTGCTGGTTCTCCTTTTCCGGTCACACACACTCCCTCTACTCTTAGCCCACTGATTCTCTCAGCTTTCAATGCTTTTCGTAAGCCACAAAGTCTACCCAGCCGCCTTTTGTTGTTTGATTTCTTCCTTCGCCGCCTTACCCCCAGATTTCTCTCTTGCTACCCGTTGGCTCTTGTGTTTTTCTTTTGCCGTTCTTTTCAAAGAACTCTCCCCTTCTCTCTGTTCTATTCTCAGTTCACCGTTTTTCCTTTTTAGCCGTCCCCCCTATCCTCCGTGGGTTTCTTTTGCTCAACCTTCGCTCCAATGCCATCCTCCTTGCGGCGGCTGCTGCCTTTGCTATTTATACCAGCATCTCCAACCCTAAAACCCCAGCCATCTCTCCTATATTTGCAGCTAAGGGACTGCCCAGGTCCTCTCTTGCAAAGCTGCGACAAAACGCAGCTTTCTGCATTTGTCTCTTTTTTTCTTTTTTTTTTTTTTTTAACAAAACCCAAAATGATAATAATAATAACAATAATAATAACAAAACCCACTTAATTAACATTGGATAAAATACACAAACTAGAAACAACAAAATGCAATTTTTTCATCATTTTCCTTTTTTTTCTTTTCCTAAATGAATCAAACAAAAACAAAATTTAAATTAAGTAGAAATGACTAAAATAGATACATAAAAACAAAAATGCTATTTCTTCTTTTCCTTTTTCCTCTTTTTTCATGATTTTTCCTTTTCCTCTTTTTTCATTTCAAGAAATTCTATGCTAATAACTTAAAAATAAAAATAAAACCATAAACTAAAAACTAAAAATCGAATAAAACTAGCACGACAAATAAAAAACTAAAAATAAACAGTAAATGAAATTACACCAAAAATTTGGTGTCTACAATTAGCACCAATACCTATCTTACCATCGAGTTCAGGAGGTTTCACCATTTATAGTGATGCCTCTAGAAATGGTCTTGGGTGCGTACTTATGCAAAGTGGTAAGGTGATTGCTTATGCTTCTAGACAGTTAAAACCTTATGAATAAAATTATCCTACACATGACTTGAAATTGACAACAATTGTCTTTGCATTGAACATTTGGAGGCATTATCTTTACCGGGAGCAGTGTGAGATATTTACTGATCACAAGAGTTTAAAATATCTGTTCACCCAAAAAGAGTTAAATATGAGGCAAAGAAGGTGGTTGGAGTTACTCAAAGATTATGACTTGACAACTAATTACCATCCTAGGAAAGCTAATATTGTAGTAGATGCTTTGAGTAGAAAGAGTTTGGAAAATTTATCGACCATGTTAGCAAGACAAATGGAAGAACTTAGAATCCACCGAGAACATTTGGCAACATTAATAGTTTAACCTTCATTGATTGAAAGAATTAAAACATCTCAATTGAACATTCTGACTGATTTTTTGCCATTGGGACATCCCTCATTTCATTATTAAGTCGAAACTATCTTCCTCCACAATTGTAAAAGGATGCTTATGCATAAGCACCCACTCAACGACACTTTCTCTTATGGCAGCCATATCAAACTTACCTGTATAAAGATAGAAATGAACAATTGAGCTAGAATTTGTGGCTCAAAATTTAATCTTTTGCTGGCTTGCCTCTTCTTTTTAAACTTTCTCCAATCATTCAGGATAATTCTTAAGATGCCTTAACAAACTTGAAGTTGTACCGGTTTTGGTCTTCTTGAATTTAGCTCTACAATGCAAACACTTCGAGTAAAGTGTTTTTTTAGACCCAACTTCCACATCTTTGAAATCAATCCTTCCAGCCGATTTTCTGGCTCTCTTTTTCTTTCTAAAGGCATCTATATCATCACTTTGACCAATCTCTTGATTCAAAGTTTAGGTCAGTGCTTGTGTATCACCTTCTAACCGCTCTTTTTCACTAGCTAGCTCTTCATCTCCAAACCGCTCTTGTTATTTCTAGTAGAATCATGAGCTGATCTAACTGGTTGTGAAGAAACATCTTGGGGAGTCATAGCCATATTGTGGTTGTACCTAAACCCCAAACAATAAATGAGAGTAATTCTTTTTCAATGCCAGCCTAATTAGTAACAAAATTGAAGGTTCAAACAAAATTGTTAAAAAGTACCCAATATTGACATGAGAATCTTAAATCAGCTATTAGAGGTGAAACAAAATTACAGATTCAAATAAAAGACAAAAAACTTAAAATAACAACTTGAACCAAATAAATGAAACACGACTCCATTTTTGAGGAAATTCTTCCTAGAAGTGTACACTAAAATGAAACAAGACTCCCAGATAAGCAACTACTGCAAATTTGACAGCCAACTTCTCACCTCCTTTACCCCTTCACTCTACATTGCAGGTCTTATTGCTTCTTTCTTTGCTTCACCAGTCACTAGAACTTCCGACCGCAAGCCATCAATCCTGATTGGCGGGGCCATATTTCTAACTATGGGATGAATATGTCCTTTTTTTATTTCTTGTGAAATTTCCTAAGAAGAAAACCACAAGCTATTCCAAAAAACATGAAAAATGCTGTATGTTTTAATGTTGAGGAGTAACGAGATATGAAAGAATGAAAACGGAAGGAAAGACTTTATATCATTGTCAAGATTTTATCTTGAAAAATAAGGGTAAGTATGGATGTGATTTTGGTTTTAATACTCAATATAATAAAGAACCAGTAAAGTATAGATGGTAACAAGACTAATGTTAGGTTCAATAGTAAAGGATTATATCCCACATTGGTCCGAGGGATAAAGAAAGAGCGGTTAATATGTAAGTAAGGGCTCGAGACCTAATGGCTTAAGTTTTTGGATCAGAGTTGGGTTTCTGACTTACATATTGGGCTCTTTGGTGAACTCTCTTGAGGTGTTTCTCCCTATCAAATTGGTATCAGAGTTTCAGGTTGCGAGACTAGAATACACATAGGCAAGTGGATTCTTCTAGAAGTTAGATCGGTGAAAATTCTCTTCTTCATAGTGGATCGAAGTACCAAAGTGCTAAGGAGTTTAGTTAGTGTTTGACCAGCTGCGCTATGGGTTTGGCAGGAGGTTTGGTTGGTGTTAGACCAAAGAGCCAAAAGGTTGGCAGGAATCCATAATGCAGTCTGGATGTTGAAAAAGAGTGAGTCCATGTTTGGGAGAAGAGATGACTTTAGGTGATAAGGTGGGTTTGTGTTGAGTATAAAAGTGGGTTCGAAGAAGGGCTTGCAAATTTGAGTTTAATGTGAGGGGTTACTTTTGAAGGAAGAGATTTGTTAGGTTTATAAGTAAAGGATTATATTCCACATTGGTCCGAGAGTAGAGAAAAAGGGTTAATATGTAAGTAAGGGTCTAAGACCTAATGATTTAAGCTTTTGGGTCAGAGTTAGGTTCCTAACTTACATATTCGGCTCTTTGGTGGACTCTCGCGAAGTGTTTCTCCGTATCAACTAAGTTATGGGATGATTATGTCAAAAAGATGACCAAAGGTAGAGTTAGTATCTTTGTTATATAACAAAGACAAAACTTTTTGCCAACTATGCACTCAAGCAAGAGATCCAAAGACAAAACATAGAATGATAAAAAGAAAGAACCCATCCACTACACTAGGGCACCTAAGCCAATTATCTTTTATTGTGGATTCGGATCAAATATCATGAGATATGTTTAGATAGATCCAAAACATGCATTTTCGTATCCGAGCATGTTGATCAATATTATCCAACATGTTTAGAACAATAAATTAAGAAAATGGAATCTAGAAACTAAAAAATTAGAGAATCAAATGGACAGTAAGCCAAATGTCATGAAAAGGGCATGCAACCAATCAAATCAGTCTTGATTAGTAGGTTTTTTTAACGTTTCATTAATTGTTGCTGAAGAGCTTGATTGGAGTCAGAAGATCTGCTCTCTTTGGATCTTGGGTCAAAGTAAACTGAAATATTGAAGTTGCACTCATCAAAGAAGGCTAGTAATGTTGGCTCCACTACAGTTGGAAACCTACTTCATTTGGAAAAAAAAAATTTCTCCTGAACTTCAAGCTATAGTCGTGTTAAAAATAAAAAAAAAAATCGCCTAAACTTCAAACCCCCAAACCTGCTTTGTTTGTATTTTAATTAATTAAAATGCATCCCAGTTTCTCGATTAAAATGGAAATAATATAAGTAAGGTGCTGCAATTTCAAACCTTCTTAGTTTGGGTGGTTACTAAAGATGCTGAGATTTGGAGTGGCTACCATAGCTGCAGATCCTGTTCGCTTTGCCTCCAACAATCGAGCTGATGAAATGGTTACCACAGCTACTTCTAAAGCTGGCCAACAAACAAGGACTCAGGGAGAAAGATGGTCTTTAATTAAAGGGTGGTAGTGGTGGTAGTGGCAGCGGTGACTGGTGGTAACGGTGGTAACGGCTAGGGTTTGCTTTTGATTTGGGTAAAAGAGGAACGAGGAACAGGAAGAATCAAGAATGGAAGTTTCGTTTTGCGTTTCTTGGAAATTTGGAAGGAACTTAATATTTAATTTCTAATTTAGTCATTAGTTATACAAGTAGGGGTATTTATGAAATTTTGCATAGCACAACGAGCTTATGAGCCTATATGCAAATGACTCAAGTTTGACACATTTGTTAAATGAGCCATTCAAGCTCAACTCGAGTTCAGTGTTGACCGAGATCGAGTCGAATGTTGACTCGAGCTGCTCACAGCTCGATTCATGAGCAGCCCTAATTGAGAGATTGTTACCACACCTAAAAAGAAGGAAGGAATAGGGATACGCAATGTAAGGAACCAGATTTTTATTTTCTTACTTTTGTATTATTTTAATGGCTCTATTAAATATTTATTCACTCATTTTCTCCGAATAATTTATTTCAACTACTTTGAACTTATTTATGGAATAATGTCTCAATTATATTTTTAACACGTCTCTTTAGTAAAATTAATTTTTTTAGAGCTCGTTTAGCGAGAAATAAGGAGTACATATTTTTCGAGACTATATTTGATCCGAGAGTACATTAATCTTGAAATAGGTATTTTTATGTTTAAGTATTCAATTATTAGTTAGTGATACTATCGTTATAAGAATTTCTTGAAAATTTCACTTTATCGCGTACAATTCGGGAATACGCGTTTTCGCGTGCGCGATTAATTAAGGGACTTTAGACCTTCATTTTTAGACCATTAAGAGTGAATAATAATAGTATGAATAAAAGTGCATTAGAGGTTTAGTGCACTAGTGAAATAAACTTGAGAGGAATCGAGCACGGAACGCACGCGCACGTGCATCATTTTAGTGGACAACCTTGAGCAATTTTGGGCCACAAGTTTTAAGCTTACTTTAGAAGCTTTAACATCAGATTTTCACCCTTCTTTTCTTCCTCAAACCAGCCGAGCAACACAAGGGAAGAAGACCAGAAAAATTTCCTTCATTTTATCTCTCAATTCCTTGTTCAAATCACCTCCAAATTTTACACACAACACTCAAATCACTTGGTGATCAGGATAAGCTAGGAAAGGACCTACCTCTCACTGTTTTTCTTCAGCTTAAAGTGACCAAAATTTCTGCCTTGACCATTTAAGAAAGTAAGTGATGATCAACCCCTTAATTCTTGATTTATGGAAGTTAGATTACACTCATAAGCTCTTGGATTCTCATGGGTATCTTTAAATTGTTAGAAATTTGGTGTGTGGGCTCTATGAACTCCCACTATGGCTTGATGGACTGATTTGTTGTGTTTTGATGTTATTAATGTTGAATTAGTGTTTAATCTAGTGGAAATAGGTTGTATTGTTGAAGGAAAACTCAAAGTAAGTGATGAGGGAATTTTTTTTCCATTTCTGCCCCTGTACATGCCGTGGCCTTAGAGCAATTTTATTGTGGTTCTAATGACTTTTTTATGATGTATACATGTTGTGTGGGTTGTGTAGAAAGTTTCATCAAAAAATTTCGTGATTTTGATGGGTAGATGTTGAGTTTTCGAAAGTCCAGTAAAACTGGAATTTTTCCCGAAACTGCTCTGGCAGTGTTTTTCAAACAGCTATAACTTTTTGTTCTGATATCGAAATCAAGTGGCGCTTGTGGCGCTGGAAACTAGACATTCCTAGCTTTCCAACGGTATAAAATGCATGTTCTGATTCTACCTGAGTAGTCCATACCAATCATTTGAACATGACTGTCCTGTTTCATATCTACACTGGGAGCTCTGTTTTGAGCAGCGAATTGATGCTCAAATATAAGCTAGCTGTGGATAGATTTTGAAAATGATTTCTTCTAAGAAATTGTAGATTTATGAATCTAGTTTTGAACGCCACTAACAACGCTCAATTCCAAGTTGAATTGAGTGAGTTGTCGCCGAAGTTCGAAACTGACTCAGGGATTGAAAAACCCTCGTTTTGGCTAGTTGATACCTTTACCTTGATTGGGACTTCTTGTTTCGAAATTCTTGGTGTTAATCACCTACCAAACACATCTTGGAGGCTTCTTAGACATTGTATACATAATTGAACCATATTTGAGATGTTTTCATTGGCCGAATATTTGGAAAAGGAAAATTTACATACAAAGACAGATTTGCCTTGGAAATTCGTGGGACTTTAGTGATTTTGTTAACCAACTTCCCATACGTATTTTTCTATGAAATTTGACAGAGGAATATCCCTTATATGGTAGTGTAATATGGCTAAATTTGGTGCCATTCCGAGTCCGTTTCGATATTCAATCAAAGTCCCAACGTTCGTGAATTAAATCTGGAATTTGACCTAACGGTCTCACTTTTTTAGTAACTTTGAGCCGCCATATCTTGGTGCTCAAAACTCCAATTCTTGTCCCGCTTGTTTTGTTTTGAACTTTGTTTGTAACTCTAATTGAGTTCCAAATTTTAAAGGCTAGTTCACATTGTGTGAATTTTTCCGAATTTTCAAAGTTGGCCAAAAACCAACCCAGAAACTGTCTCAATGGTCCAAAAAAGCAACTTTGAGCAGAATTTTGAATGTTATCCATTTGGAATCTTGAAAAAATGTCTTCTAGGAACTTTTAGCACTTTGGAAATAGTTTCTAACGGTACCAAGTTTTCCAATTTTGGACATATGAAGGGTGAGGCACGATTTTTCAAAGATTGAACCTCAAATCGGAAATTTTCAAACTTGACGGGAATTGAGTTTTTGAAACTCTTCCCTATCCTTCAATACTAATTGACCATTTTGAGCTTGTCTTCATGAAGGAAATCAGTTTTTTTTCCTTGTGTTAATAAATACTACTTTAGAACCTTGAATTTTGAACAAGTAAAGCCCCATTCTATGGTATTTTCTAGATTGTACAAGTGTACAATCCCTCTCTTGATAAGAAAGGATTTTCAAGTGATAGTATGTAATACATAACTATTGTTTGCTCAGGTGCTTAAGGAGACCTACACGAGGATCTCAAGAAGAACACCTAAAAGCTTGTTTACCCACTCACTCTCTTATTTTGATTGGTGAGTGTCAAGTGCATGAATTTGTTGTTAAGTGGTTAACTGTTTCTTATCCGTTATGTGAATTTGAAATTTTGAGACGAGTGTGTACTTTACCGAACTCGTTCTCTTTCGAACGAAATTATATTCGTATTTTGCTATGTGAATTCATATTCAACTTATACATAGTAATGTGGATATGATTCGTATTTGTGATTCGTATATGTGATTCATATTTGTGATTCGTATATGTGATTCATATTTGTGATTCGTATTTGTGATTCGTATATGTGATTCGTATTTGTGATTCGTATATGTGATTCGTATTTGTGATTCGTATATGTGATTCGTAATTGTGATTCCTATTTGGAATCGTCGATTTGAGCATTGCTCATCGACTTATATTCGTATTCGTATTCGTATTCGAGGGACGCCCAAACTCGTTGATTAACTTTGCGATTCGAGCCAGCATGGGCTTGGTCGATAAGCTTAGCAAGCCATGAGATATTCGTAGAGCATGATCTATTGGAGAGATCTTGCTCGGCATTACTCGCGCACTATTGCCATGATATACTCGAGTATTATCAAAACTTTGATGAGCGGGCCCGGTAAGGGAGTGTAACGGTGACGGGATTCGAAGAAAAGTGGTGTATCTACGGATTTGATACTGATGTGGTTGACGGAGTGTCAACATGAGTTGTGATCAAGACTTTGACTCGACTACGTGGAATTTATGTGACGCCCCCACTTCTCCCAAGGACGAACCCAAGGGTATCCGCGGGACGCCTGCCCAACTCTCGCCAGGATTCGGTACAAATTCAATTCAAGCTTAAAATCTAATACTAACAATAAAAATCGGAATAAAAGTACGAAGTCATTTCCATACGTAAGTATTCAATCTTACATCACAATTTCAAACTTACAATTACTTTTTCCAAAATATACAACTTCTAAAAGTTGTCTAAACAATTACATTCAAAATTCTAATCAAATGAGCCATCAAGTAAGTTTCATCATAATTCCTTCCATTTCAACTCCTGTTAAGGAAAACAAATCTAACGGGGTGAGCGGATGCTCGTGAGGCCAAGAAAACATGCAAGACACGTAGTTCAATAATAATAACACTTACACAATAATGGAAGCCATAACGTTCGAGTAGTTCACAATTTATAATAAACACACTTGAATAGGGTGCAGGAGTAGGATGCAGGAGCTCTCAGGAGTTAATTTTTTAATTGATTTGCCCCAGGTTCAATTCAATACATTCTTGTGACGACACCTCGTCACCCGGGTAAGTAATTAAATTCGTAGCACTTCACTTATTCCATTTATGTTTCTGAGACGACTCGAGAGGTACCTCCCACCAAATCGGTGTGGTACTTGCTATCGTTCAGGGGTTTAGGGTACTGAGACGATTCGAGAGGTACCTCCCACCCGAATCGGTGTGGTACTTACTATCGTTCAGAGGTCGATGAGACATCGCTCTAATCGACTAAGAATGCTTTGTGGTTCTGAAACGATTCGAGAGGTACCTCCCACCCGAATCGGTGTGGTACTTACTATCGTTCAGAGGTTTAGAGTACTGAGACGACTCGAGAGATACCTCCCACCCGAATCGGTGTGGTACTTACAATCGTTCAGTTAATAGGTCTGAGACGATTCGAGAGGTACCTCCCACCAAATCGGTGTGGTACTTGCTATCGTTCAGAGGTCGATGAGACATCGCTCCAATCGACTTATGCAGCCATAGCATATTTTTCCAAGTCAAGTCATGTCAGGTCAAGCAATTCAAGTCAGGTGAAGCGATTCAATTTAGGTCAAGCACGAGTCATTTATTTCAAATGAGAACGAGTATGGTAAAGTACACACTCGACTCCATTTCCAAAATTTCAAGTCATTGTAAGCACGTATCAAGTCCACAGGATTTCAACTATTCATGCACTAATAATAATCGAGCACGTAATATCCATGTACAATTGTCAATCATATTCATTCATATAA